TTGTTGTAGTGGATGTTACGCTATCCTTAGATAGTATACACAGAAAATAGCTAAGTTTAACTGTAGTCTTGCCTCGAGATGAGTAGTTAAGCCATCCTCATAAAAAGAAAATTTCATTAAGTAATCCTTCGGGATGAAAGTGGATAGATCCACTAACCAAAGCCTATCTCCTAACAAGGGATGACAATTCAAGCTGAAGCCAAGCTTAACCGACCTGACCGACCACTAAAATATCTGAACCTAAACCGAGAATAAAATAATCCGAACCCGACTCAAAATTTTTTACCCGAACTTGACATCGGGTCGGGTCGGGTGTGGGTTTATAACTTTACCCGACCCGACTCAAACCCGAATATTTTATAACATAAAATCCTCTCTATGGACATAATGAGCACTTCGTATAATCTCTTAACAAAGTTCCACTATATCAAGTTTGCCTTTTATAATCCTTTTTATAATTGCTTAATAAAAAATGAGATACAAAAAAAGAGACAAAAAATTAGATTTAATCTATTTAAAATTATTGGGGTACGTTGAATTGATTATTAGTTAAAAGTCGGGTTTGGGTCGGGTTCGGGTTTCAGGTTAAAATGTAGGGATTGAGTCGGGTCGGGTTTTTGGCTTAAAAGATTGGGTTTTGGGTTGGGTTCGGGTATAGTACTATTCGACCCCAACCCGACCCCTTGTCATCCCTACTCCAAACACAAAAGGTCTTAATGTGATTAAGACCGGCATTGACTTCGTAAACTTAGCTATCAAAGTTATATTCATTAAAATGGTTTTCATGCATCATTAAAACCTTTTTTCATAAATTTTTATAATCCCAAAACACTTGGCATTCGTTCAAATCCAAAACCACAACGTTCAGCGTTCGGCTTTCAGAGCCGCGTTCAGCTTTTAGAAACCGGCGTTCGGCTTTCGGTTATCGGCGTTGATTCTTGGCGTACAAACCAACCAAGTGGTTTTTAATCTTTTATTATTGTTTTTTAATTCTGGGTACATTTAAATAGTTTTCCAACAAAAATATGTTAAAAAACACCTTTCATTTTGGTCTTTTGGCAAAAAGCATGTGAAACGACTTAAACTTGGCTAGCCGTGATTTTTACCTTAATGACATGGTTTTTAAGATATTTCATTTGGTTTCTTATTCAAATGCATTAAATAAGTGTTTTCAACACTTGGTTTTCAAATGGAAGAAGTTTGATTTTTGACATCGGCTTTTGGAGTTGACCAACTAGCTATGGTTTTGGTGAACCTGCCCAACAACGATATTGGACATGCAACATCGATGTTGAGGTTGCACATGAAAACCATGGTTTGGAAGAAAGTTTCCCAACATCAATGTTGGATGTTGAACATCGATGTTACAGCAATGTAGGTGTTACTACCTCGATGTTGTGATCAAGACTAAGAGAACTGAGTTTTGGAAGGATGCCAACATCGATGTTAGGCCATTTTCTTCCTTTGACAGAACAGCTCTGAACAGCGATGTTCACTAATGAACATCAATGTTGGCCCCTAACCGTTGGAAGATATTAAAAGCTAAATCTTTCTTTCTTTAGAAGTCAACCCATACAACAGCGATGTTCAGGATTTGAACATCGATGTTATGGTGACCGTTGGACATTCTAGTTGGAAAGTTTGAGCCTTAACAGTGATGTTCAGGACTTAAACATCGATGATATACCATTATCCAACAGATCCTTTTTTATTTAAATCCCACAAATCATGCCAATCATCCCCAATCAACTCCCACTCGTTGGAGCCTATATTTGAGTATAAAAAGGGTTCTTTGGGGTCTACTTTTCATAACATAACACTTCACAAATCATCATTTCTTCATTGCATCATTTATACATAATTTTCATAGCTTTCAAAAGCCATTTTGTGAAGTCCTTGTTGTGTTCTTGAGCGTATATATTTTATGCATTATCTACTCTTTGAGAGAGTCTTTGTATTGAGTGTTAAGTGTAGTTTACACTTGAAGGGAAGCCTGTTTCCCTTGGTTGTACGAAGGAAGGGTACATTCCTTCGGTATTGAAGTCTTGGAGTGCGGTATCTCCGAGCAAGGTGTTTTGAGGCTCGTGTGACTTGAGTTCTCAAGTTATAACGGTTTGTTAAGCACCCGTAAGCTTAACGAAAGTAGTGTAGCTCGAGAGAGTTGTTAGCCTTGGTTTGCTAAGCCTCATGTTTTGATGTTAACAAACAATATAAGAGCTTGACGTTTGTTTAAGTGTTTCAGGTACAACAAGAATCCATTAAGATTCGGTACTCGAGAATGAAGTTGAAACACCAAACTAATGTAGAATATAGGTAGAAACCAATGTAAGAATATGATTCTATATACCTATATTCACAAGCTCAAAAGCACTCACAAAATATGTTTAAAACCATCCCATAAACATTTTCAAATATTTAAAAGGTTTTAAACTCAAACACGAAGGATTAAGGGAAGTTTGGAAAAATCAGAACAGAGCCAGGTACGGTACCCCTAGTGGTACCCAATACCGCCCAAACGGTAGGGTATACCGCCTACACGGTACCCCCATACCGTCCTATCCAGGTACCGCTAGAGCCGAATGGTTTTTTGGTGTTACACGGTACCGAGGTGCCGCCACTCACGGTACCCACTTGCCGTAAGCACGGTACCATGCTACCGTGTGGACGGCACCGACCTACCGTAACTGTTAGGTTACTATTTCTGATTTGTGATTTTGAATTAAATCAACCCTAATCACCTCCCAACGGGTAATTAACCTTTTCCACTATAAATACAAGCCTAATCCTTCATATTTCTTTAAGAAACAAAGCTCTAAACATCCTCTCTTTATATTCTAAGTGTGTTCATTCTTTTATTAATTATTTTAAATATTTTGGCTATTTTAAGAGCCCTAAATTCCTGATTTCTATACACACACTTTGAGCTTGTGTTTCTAGTTATATACTCTCATATTCATAAGTTTTTGTATTGTATTTTTGAGAAAGTATAATTTAGTTCTACACCGACTAAGTCTTGTTCTTCATTTTTATATTCAAGCCGTTGTGTCGAACCTTTGTTCGTGTTCTTCAAACACACCTTCTTACGGTCGAGAATAACCATTAAATTCTCACGTTGTAACGGTCAAGGATAGCCGTATGAATCCTTGGGTAAAGGTTCAAGGATAGCCTTTGAAATCCTTGGGGGAGTGGTAGAAGATAGCCGTTAAATCTTCATTGTAAACAGTTCGAGATAGCCGTGGTGAAATCTCGGAGTGAATCCTATTGGCAAAGGTTGTTTGCCAAACTAGTGCGGTGCTTTGACGGAGTTCAAGAGGCCGGAACTTAGTGGATTCGGAAATCCTTGATGAGGAGCCTCGAGGTACTGGAGTAGGGAGTTCCCGAACCAGTATAAAATCGGTGTGCATTTTATTTACGCTTTTATTTCTGCGTTTTATATATTGCTTCCGCATTTGCCAACACCGTTTTTATTGAACTCCGAAAAGATTTTAAAATGCCTTATTCACCCCCCTCTAAGGCGTGGGCACAACGTCTAAAACGACTAACAAGAGTTTCTCGGGAGACTGCGTAGCCACACGTTATTATGAACCAGTGTAAATCTCGTTGTGCATTTCCTTTAGGCTCTTTACTTTTCACGCTCTCAATTTTATTTCTGTAATTTTATTTCAAACGTTATTCACTCCCTTATAGTGTTGGGACTCATTTCTAACACGAGAGGTTTGAGAGATCTAGACAGAGAGGAAGGATGACTTCCGAGCGGTCCATCCCATGAGGAAGACTTGGTGGGCTTTTGGCCCAGCCCGACTTCACATAAGGAAAGAATCCTCCATATTTCTTGGGATTGGTTGTGTTAGATCGCTGAATGACTGGGATGCTTGGCCAAGCATCGATGGTGCTGGAAGACTGGGATGCTTGACCAGGCGATGATTGAACCTACCATAGTTATCACTTTCCTTGTAAACTCTCGAATGTACACTGATAAATAGAGTCGACAATTATTGTATAACTCACGTTTTTCACCGCTAATATACTTGTGCTCCATTCTCGTTCTCTCAAGCCCTATTCTTTATTTTTCTAATTCATAATTCAATTAAGCCTTTTGGGCCGAGTTCTTTGATGGAATTTATTTCCTTCACTCGCGGATTGTGTTAGATGGAGAAATAAGAAGGAGATTGAGCTGCTATCTTAATATTAGGTTTGTGCTTTGGTCCAAATTCAACCTCTTCTTTTTATACTTGTGCTCTAATTTAGCCTTCCACTAACTTTTGCTTCGAAATAAAATATCTAATAACTTAGATTAGAGAAAATAAAACAAAGACAAAAAATAAAATTGAAAAAAGTGATTAATAAAATAACTATATTTTGAAAGAAATTTAAAGGAATGTAAAATGAAAATGAAAGTAAAACTAATCTAAAAGACTGAATATCATGCAATAATAGTATTTTTTGAACGGGCAATAATAATATTTAATATACCTAAAAATAAAGAAAAAATACTAACCCAACACGGACTTATCATACGTCATTAAAAGATTTCATACACTTCTTTTTTCTACGTCATTATTTTTTATCACTTTTTTTAATCAATATATAATAATAACTGAAAATAATTTTAAAAGTTCAAAACACTATTTGTATAATTCAAGACAATCTTGCTCAATAAAAACGTATTGTACGCTATTAAAAAATTTATAAAATGTAATTGTAAAATGAAGTTCAATGGACATGGTAATAATAATAATACATGTGGCGAGAATAAAATGGAAAATGCATTAAAATAATTTTTTAAATTCATTGTTAGAAGAAACTAATATTACTTAAAAAATTGAAAATAATTAGAAAAAGTACAAAAAAATTTAAAAAAAATTGAAAGTTAAATAAAAAAGAGGGTCTAAAGAGTAGACATGACACATGACCATTTGATTTGGAAGGGGTGTGACCAGCTCCCACCATAGAATACTCCGTAACAGATAGGAATACGGAGTAATAGATTAGGACTTGGTAGCGACCCAAATCTTCAGTTGACAAGTGACAACCATACCTGGAATCCAGACATCTAGTTTTGGTTCTTCCTGCAGGTTTGTTGAAGAAAAAAAATAGCTCAAGAATTCTGAGCGCAGCTCCGGATCTCCCTTCAGCCGCAAGGGTGTACAAATTGCAAGATCTGTTCTGAGTATGACCTGAATTGAACTGAGTAAACTGGGTTCTCTAGCTCCAGATTCCACATAAATTCAACATAATGCATTTTCCCCCATCTAAATTTGAAAGCTTTTAGCGCATCCTGAGAGAATCAGGGTAAGCTTTCAAATCTTCTTATTTGATTCCTTCATTATTTTGCTGTGCTGTTAATAGTTTTATTCATCAAGATGATATTTCTTAATCTGGGCATGTACTAATGTGAAAATGAAAACTTCTATGTTTATGGTCATTTTAACTTACGGCTGCACAGCTCTAATGACTTCTTAAAAAATTAGTTATTCTGGGATCGTTAGGGTTTGTTTTTCTGGGTGAGGAGTTTAGTTGATAGGTTCTAAATTTTCAACTTTCGGATATTTCTGATAATTTTCATCTGTGTTTAGACACTGTTAAGTTGGGTTGAGATCAATTTAGAGTTTAGGTGTATTGCTTTAAAATATACTGATGAATATAGCAGGTACATAATCTGATTATTCCATTCAAGTAAATTAAACTGCACATTTAAAAATAGGTGGTTCATATTTTTCCATTCTGTTCCAAATTTAATCCCTTTCACCCACTTCTCATTTCTTAAACTGTGTGCCATGTTAAACTAAGAGTAATAAATGGTGGCTGCGGGAGTACTACTCTTTATTTGGTTTGTGTTTTGGGGCTAATTCCTGTCTAGTTCCATTGTTTCATCATGTGAACTTATCTTCTAAGCTTTGATGTAGATCTGTTTGTAAGAAAGTGTTCCAACAGAATTCACTTGATGATGGAGTCTTGCAATTGCATTGACCCACAATGGCCTGCTGACGAGTTATTGATTAAATATCAGTATATATCAGATTTCTTCATTGCACTTGCTTATTTCTCCATTCCGGTTGAGCTGATCTACTTTGTTAAGAAATCTGCAGTGTTTCCTTATAGATGGGTGCTTCTGCAGTTTGGTGCATTCATCATTCTTTGTGGAGCGACACATTTTATTAACTTATGGACATTTGGGATGCATACAAGAACAGTAGCCATAGTCATGACAACTGCCAAACTTTTGACTGCATTAGTTTCATGTGCGACTGCACTCATGCTGGTACACATCATTCCTGATTTATTAAGTGTAAAAACTAGGGAACTGTTCTTGAAAAACAAAGCTGCTGAACTTGACCGGGAGATGGGCCTTATCCGTACACAAGAAGAGACCGGTAGACATGTTAGAATGCTTACGCATGAAATCCGAAGCACTCTTGATCGACATACTATTCTCAAGACTACACTTGTGGAGTTGGGAAGGACTTTGGGTTTGGAAGAGTGTGCATTATGGATGCCTACACGTACTGGACTTGAGCTGCAACTTTCATACACTCTTCGCCACCAAAACCCTGTTGGATTTACAGTACCGATTCACCTTCCTGTAATTAGTCAGGTATTCAGCACAAACCGTGCCGTGAAGATATTACCTAATTCTCCTGTGGCAAGATTACGACCTGCGGGGAAGTACATGCCAGGCGAGGTGGTTGCCATTCGTGTTCCTCTTCTTCATCTCTCTAATTTCCAAATCAATGACTGGCCTGAACTATCAACAAAACGCTACGCTTTGATGGTTTTGATGCTTCCTTCAGATAGTGCAAGACAATGGCACATCCATGAGCTAGAGCTTGTTGAAGTTGTGGCTGACCAGGTTTGAAATTCTGCATTTATTATATTAGAAAGTTTCTCAAGTGTGTCTTACATTGTCTAAATGTGAATTAATGAACATCTGGATAAGTATTAGACACTCCTCACCTCAAGAATTCTCTTGGGCTTGAGCAGGTCCAACGTTATTCTTTACACGGTATTGGTGCATGGTCCAATTTGTAACCATGATGTGTGTCCCTATGAAAAAATTATACGGACTAGGCATGGTCATGTGACCCTATGAAATGAAATTGCACGTTCCAGGAGTGTGTCATGATTCGCTAGTGGGTTGTTGTGATAGAATTTTTAGGATTGGGTGTGGACAACTAGATTGGATAATAAGACACTTGAGTTGAACAACATTAAAAGATTGAATCCAATCGATTAGTTAGTTCAACTCAAGAGCTTAAATACCGATTATTTTGCTCTTGAACTTCCGATGTGGGATGACACTCTAACAAAGACTATTTAAATGAACGCCTCAGTAGTATTGTACAGCTGGGTCGGTCAATTGTTTAAACCAAATAGGGAAAAAGTGTTGGAAATCATAAGAGAGCTCTTTCGGTATTGAGTTGGGTCCATCCTCACCAGTATTTCATAAATGTTAGCTGTGTCCTAGTGCAAGTGTTTTCCTGTCGCTTGTCAGTGACATGACATCAAGAAAGCATACAGACCTTTTGCTTTCTGTGTACGTCGTTCTGGTTTTGTATTGACCTAATTTGTAGTCAATATTGGTTCAGGTGGCTGTTGCTCTCTCTCATGCTGCAATTTTAGAAGAGTCAATGAGGGCAAGGGATCTTCTCGTGGAGCAGAACATTGCCCTTGACCTGGCAAGAAGAGAAGCTGAGACAGCTGTTCGTGCTCGCAATGATTTCTTGGCTGTTATGAACCATGAGATGAGAACACCCATGCATGCAATAATAGCACTCTCTTCCTTGTTACAAGAAACGAAGATGAGCCCTGAACAACGTCTGATGGTAGAAACAATCCTCAAGAGCAGCAATCTTTTGGCAACTCTCATCAATGATGTCTTGGACCTTTCAAGACTAGAGGACGGTAGCCTTCAACTTGAGATAACCACTTTTAACCTTCATGCCCTTTTCTGGGAGGTTGGACTTATTTTTCACTTCATGTATGTTTGCCTCTTTCTCCATTTCTTCCTTTACAGCTTTCGATGATTGAGAATGTCTGGCAATTACTGTATGTAGGTCCAGAATTTGATCAAGCCGATTGCGTCTGTGAAAAAATTGTCTCTCACTCTGAGTTTGTCTCTAGATTTGCCTGAGTATGCCATTGGTGATGAAAAACGGCTCATGCAAGTGCTTTTGAATGTTGTTGGCAATGCTGTAAAGTTCTCTAAAGAAGGCAGCATCTTGATTTCTGCTGTCGTTGCTAAATCAGAATTTTTAAGAGATTCTCAAGCTCCTGACTTCTTCCCAGCGCTAACTGAAAAAAACTTTTATTTACGTGTACAGGTCTGTAATTCAACGTTGTTTCAATGCATGCTAATATTGGCGCCATAGTTGATATCTTTATTACAAATGTTTTGCCTAAAGTGCAGGTTAAAGATACGGGAATGGGAATAAACCCTCAGGACCTTCCCAAGATCTTTAGCAAGTTTGCTGAAAACCAATCGTTGACTTCTACTAAAAACTCTGGTGGTTCTGGGCTTGGCCTTGCAATTTGTAAGAGGTAAAAGCCTGGTACACTTTTGCTTGCTTGCAAGCTTTGTGATAAAAGAATACTCTTATTTTTCTCTCTATGATATAATATGACCATTGAATTGTGCCGTGCCAGGTTTGTTAATCTTATGGAAGGACAAATATGGATTGAAAGTGAAGGTCTTGGAAAGGGAGCTACTGCTATTTTTGTTGTTAAACTTGGAATTCCTGGTCTCTCAAATGAATTGAAACCCGCCTTTGTTCAGAAACTCCATGCTAATCATGCACAGGCAATTTTTCCAGGAATAAAGGTCTTGCTTATGGATGATAATAGGTGAGTTGTTCACCCTAACCTCCATTTCAGCATGCCTTAGGGTCTTCTTCAAGAATGTGCCATTTTATTATATAGGAAAACTAAAGTGAAAACGAACTAAAGCGTAAGTGACTTTTTCTTTGGTTAGCGAGATTAACAGATAGATAATTCCTAAGTTTTTTTTTATTTGGAGTTAACATCTTCAAGTTTCATAATGAAAAAGAGAGAACGGGGCATGTTTTTAAAAACCTCAACATGAGGCAAGTTCCACTTTGGTTCTTCGTTGCTAGTCTTTTTTCCCAGATTTAGTCAATGTCTTTAAAATTGACCACTTTTGGTATTCTCAGTACTCTGATTATTAAAAAGTTTCCATTTACTGGTTCTCTGTTAGGATGGTAATCGTACAGACCTCAATATGAGGTATATCAATGATAACTATCTTTATTGAGCGCAAATTCTTTGTTTAGTTGGCCCTTGTAATTTGTTACGGCTAATGTTTTTTTCCCCCCAAATTTTCATCCCAATCCCATCAGGGGTGCAATTGATCCGTCTTATTCTCAACCCAATACATTTCATCTCGTTTTATCTCTTCAATCGACATTCACACATCTGAAACCATAGTAGTGGGCCGAAACCAAAAAAGTTTTCGTAGTCTGAGTACCAAAGCTTTTATGGTTGAGAAAACAAATGTAAAAATGCTAAGTTGAAGGACCAAAAGTGAAGTTCTCTTATCACAATATAGAACTGGTGTCTTACTTTTACCCAAGTTAAAATGTTTCACATTTTCTCAAATGCATTACTGACACCACCATCTCTCTCTTACTCTCAGTAATAAATGTTTATTTTATGATTCTTATTTGGTCAGCATGAGCAGGGCAGTAACCAAAGGACTATTGGTGCACCTTGGGTTTGATGTGACAACAGCCTATAGCACAGATGAATGTTTGAGAGTTGTTAACCAGGAAGACAGGGTAGTAATCATAGATGTGGGAATGGGTGGCATAGGCGGATGTGAGTTCCTCTCTAATCAGATACATGAAAAATTCTTGCGATGCCAAGAGAGGCCATTCATTGTGGGCATCATAGGAACCACAGACAGAGCCATGAAAGAAAGATGCTTGGCGGCTGGTATGGATGGCATAGTAACCAAACCTGTTTCTGTGGAGAAAATGAGAAATGTCTTAACCGAGCTTTTCGAGCACGGGGCTGTGCAGTAAGTAAGACGGGAGATGGCAATTGATGTGAATTCCTGCAGGAGGAGGAGGTGTGTACATACGATTCAGCAATTCTTGACCAATTTCTCTCATTGCATGCCATGGCGTCTACTTGGAAGGAAGTACAAACTGCCAAAAGATGGTCTTGAGAATAAACCAGGACTCCTTTTTATTTGTGAAGGACAATTGATTTTTCTTCACGTTATTCATGGAAGTGTTTTGTAATCTATGTGGGATCTTCCCTTGAGAAACCAAGGCACCATTACTTTAAAGATATAGGTTATAATGCATACAAAAAAACTCATTGAAAACGCGTATGTATCAGAGACTTTTTTGTTGTTGAAAGGAAGACTCTTGTTACTTAGGGAGTAATTGTTACTTTGTACTTCGTCATAACAAGGTCTATTCGGCGAGAATTTGGCATGAATCACCTCATACTCAATATTTTTAGTATTTGATTTTATTTCCCAAATACTAAATATAACAATAGTGTAATCTTTTGTATATCTAGTCCAATCCATTTTTTAAATGTTAGCATCCTTTTTATGGGAATTTAAAGAAAAGCCACTGAAATAGAGTCATGACCTTTTACTTCCTAGACTTGAGTTAAAAAAGTGGCATTTACATGTCCTGCGATTTACTCTGCACGATTTATATTTATATTTTAATTCAATGCCGGCTATGGAGCTGCATGAAGAAACCGTGAGTTGAATGGATGGTAGGACACGTGACATCTTTTTGGCAAAACATCAGGGAGTAGAGCTGGCAAATCGGTCGGTCAGGTCGAGTTCGGGTTCGATCACTTCAAGTTCGTGTTATTTCGAGATCGGATCATTTCAGGTTCGGGTTGAGAACTGTATGTTCATGACCCAGTGTCATCGGGTTCGAGTCGACCCAACGGATTATGACTTTAGTTTTTTAAATTTTTAAATTCACATTAACATTTAATTTTCTATTAAATAAATTTAAAATATAAAAAAATGTATTAATTCTATAAAATTATTTTATTGTAAACTCTAAAGTAACTTTTAGATATGTAAATAAATATAAGGAATTTAAAAATGCTTTAGTTTTGAAAAAAAGTAAGATAATTATGTAATATCATTAAAATTTTGTCTTAAAATATAAATTTATACACTAAAAACGAGTGGTAAAGTGTATCATTTTGAAAAATTCTTACTCTAGCGGGTCGATCAGGCCTGATTCGGGTTCGGTCAGGTTCGACCCATTTTTAGTGGGTCATTTCGGGTTCGGTCAATTTCGGGTTCGGTCATCAAAACCTTTGTTCAAAACCCAGTGTTTCCAGGTCGGATTTTGGATCAAAAACAGATCGGGTCATTTTTTGCCAGGTCTATCAGGGAGTATTGTACTTCCAATGTCCCAAAAAAGACTTGAATATTGTTACTCCCTCCGTCCCCCAGTTTTTGTCCGCTTTTGACTTTTGGAACTGTTCATCTAAACACTTTGATTCATCAAATTCTCTCAATGTGTAAGCCTAAATATAGTTATGTGTGATCTTGTTTGATTTGTCTTAACATATAGATTATTAATATATAATTTTTATAATTTTTTAATATACAAATTACAAGATAAAATGGATTAAAGAAGTGCATTAGATGGTGTGTAAAAATGAAAGTGGACAAATACTCTGAGACGGAGGGAGTATTTAGAGATTTGACTGAAGCAATTTGAAAATTGGTAAGATACTAAAAAATAAAATTTATATATTTCAAAACTATTTGAAAAATTCTATAAAGTAAGAGACGATAATATCATATTATTTTTTGAAATAGGTCATGAAAATTGGTCAAAAAACATAGTTAAAGTTTGACCATGTGAATAAACAGGCAACTCAAATTGAGACGGATGGAGTAGGAGTCAAAAAGAATATTCATCTTACTTGCTCGCATCCCCATGTATATTTATAATACAGAGTGCAAATTAAGCAGATCTTGCCCTCGCTGTAGTAGGATAGAAGATTGTAAAGCCATGTCTTCTGGGACGTAACTCAGACTTGGTGACCGTGCGCCAGTCCTTGTCACAATGTCATGACAACCTAGAGCTCGAAATCAAACATAAATATTTGTGATCTCTAATAGGGAGTAGTTGTTTATTACATCACATAATCCATTCCCCGTTATCTACGTTATTTGATCCATACAAAGAGCAAACCTAAAAACCGGTGTTGGGTTCTTGGGCCATGGGCCTTATCATGCGTGCTTAGTGTAACTTGGCATTACGAAAATACCCCGGGAGAGTTTGTGTTGGGGAGCAATTTCTAAGCCAATTAAAATGCTCATGGCTCAAAGATCAGCAGAAGAAGAAATATTTGGTGCAAAATTGGTAAGGTATGCTTCAGCCAACATTTTGCCAAGTTGAACCTGGGCTTCTGTGGTCAAATGGAGTTTATCATCCTTGAGCTGCAATCCTAAGGCATCAACGGACACAACATTTGGAAGGTCAATCTTCTTTTGTGCTGTTCTTATTTCATCAATGTATTTTTCATCCCCTGATGCGATAGCAACCTGGATGATTTTCACCCAACAAAACTATACCATTAGAAATTTCATCGAAGGCAGATCACTTCAATGTTAAATTGTCAGGGTAACACTTGAGAGTGGTATCATGTGTTTTAGTTGTTAAATCATCACTTTAATGTTAAATTATCAGGGTAACACTTAACAGTGGTTTCATGAGTAACACTTTAGTGTTAAATTATCAGGGTATCACATAAGGAAACCATAAGAATTGACAACTGGAAACGTGATATTTAATGCAGCAATGGAGGAAATCTTCTCTTAACCTACCACCCTCCATACATAATATTGAATATTCTGTACCAGTTAACACTCCAAGGATAATAAATCTGCTAACACTTGTATTGTTGCATTCACTTTGTGGATTTGCTATTGCACCATAAATTTACTGCTGGCTTGCTGCTTTACCCAAGTCCAAAAAAAAAACAGTGGTATCATGGGTTTTAGTTGTTTGAAATTTATAACTTTAGCAACTAATATTTAGATCTCATCGTATTCACTAAACCAATCCCAACCTACAAAGTATATCCCACAAAGGTATGTTGTGTGTGTGTGGGGGGGGGGGGGAGTTGTCCTCTACTCCACGGAGTAAAGGTACAAACTTCATTTTTCAACAAATAATATATGTGCACTTAAGAGCACATTTGATCTTGAATGCTTATTTTGTTGTTAATGTTGGAGGACCGGTAAAGGTTTGTTCAACAAAAGAAGTACTTGACACGCTTACGAATCGTGAAAGAATCACTTTCACACTAAAGTTATTTCGGGCAAACCAAAATACTTTAATCGGATAGGACGTAAATGTTAAAGAACGAGTATGAGGTCTTTCTAAAAGAAGACTATAGTCACTTGGACTTATTTTTGCTTGTCGTACCGAAATAGGCCATAGGAATGACTATTTATAGGCAAAACACTTATCGGACATGTCTTTTAAACTCAAAAGTTGAGTCTGTTCAGTACCTATTCGAATAACATGCATGCTATTCGAATAGGAGACCATTTTTTGAAGGATCAGACGCATTGCTTCCGCGACTTATTCGAATAGGAAAAGACTTGTTGGAATATGTCAGCACATCGGGTCCTGACTTATTGCAATAGGTAAAGACCTATTCGAAAAGGTCCTCACAATTCAAGCTGACTTATTTGAATAGGCAAGTGCCAATTTGAATAGGTCAGACATCTTGTTCCAAATAATAATATAATTGAACGAGCGTGTACTCCACACCTCCTAACTCATTTAAATAGTTATTATTATTTAATGTCTGGTCACTAAGTAAATCCAACTACCCAAAATAGCTCGATGACACCATAGCTATTTAAGGCGCGATGCGCACCGATGCACAAAGGGGCTCTAGTGCCTTGATGCGCCATGCGCTATTGATGTGCACACATCACGAACACAATGCACGCGCTGAGGTATAAGTAGCATTGCATCTATAAAGTAGTAATAGTACATATAAAAGTAAAAAAACATAAGAAAATTTTAAAAAGCAACCAAGATTCAAGGTATAGACTTCATGGGTTTTATTACAAATTAGGCAAATGGTCACTCTCATTTGTTTCTGTGAACCTCCGGACAAACTTCCATCCGGGATCATTAGAAATTGGTCCTTCAAGTTCTTCAAACCCAAAATCTAGAGATTCTTCCATACATGAAACTTGAAAGAGCACAAAAAATATAAATACAAGAAGGAAAAGAGGGGAAAACCTCACAAAAAAAAAAGAATCTGAAAAAATGCTCTAAAAACATATAATGAAAGGAGTGACTAACTTACTAACCTAATTCTCAAATCTCAAATACTACATCAATTTTATTCTCAAACTTGAACAAAATATTAAATTTAATTTTGAAGTAAAATTGCAAGATAAATAACTGGAGTTTAGAAAACATCTCGTACTTTATTAAGTGAATTCTCAAATTTTACTACATCAGTTTTTTTCTCAAATGTCAAACTCATAAGAAAAATTTAAAACAATTAAAATTAAAAAACAGTTAAATGCCCCATAAATAAATAAAGAGGGATTCAGATCTAGACTGTGACTCTAATCAGTCCAAGTCAGTAAGGGATAAGGAGTAGAAGGGTTTTTTTAAAAAACTAAATGAAGAGAGCTGCGTATGAATATGAAGAAACAAAACTAAAGAGACAAGAAAAAAAGGCGGAAGGCCGGAAGCCTCACAATTATAAAAATGAAAAAATAAAAGAACCTAAAATGTGAAGCAAGCAAATAGAGAACCTGAAGAGAGCAAAAAGATAACTGATGCACGGCAGAAGCAAAGTTGATCCAGAGAGAAAAAGCCCTTGCGATGAAGTGGCAAAAGAAACAAATCCGTAGGAAAAAACATAGAGACGAAGTAGAGAAGCAAAAATTTGGGCTGAGTCAACCCTTAAAAAAGTTTAAAATAAAAAACTTAATCCGTGTTCGCGATGCGCACATTTTATCGCATCCAATCGCATCGCTTATTGTGCTGATGCGCAGGTATGCACTCGCATAACGTACATCGCCCGCATCACCAGGAAGAATGCGCAGAGCCCTGCGCCTTGCATGATGCCCCTTTTCACAACTATGAATGACACTATAATCACCAACAGTTAAAACATACTCCCTCCCACAAAGAATTTCACACTTTTCTTTATTTGGATGCCTCACAAAAAACTTCACACTTTTACTTTCTCCTTTAAAAGAAATGAATATGTGGCATCAAAATTTCTCTTTCACTTTTCATGAACTCCGTAAAGTGATACAATGAAGTTCCCTTTGGGGAGAGTATGTTCTACCTAGCTAATCCATGGAATACCGGAGATTAAGAATGCATAATAAGTGTCCTTTGATGGATTATAGCATGCGGGCTAGTGCCTCATTCCCAAAAGAAAATAAAGTAACTACATTGGCGGATGGAAGAGTTTGCAGGGTCCATGTCGTTTAATGGAAGTGGTAATGAAAATAAGATTTCAAACTATTACTATTTCATTTAAGAATGAAGAAAAAATATTTGATGTATTGTAAGTTACTACCGAGCAAATCAAAAGACCAGCGATTATGCAAAAACATGATAACTTTCACTGGAAACCAACCTGAATAATTGGCAAAGATGGAATGTTCAAATCGCTGCGGATGTTGTGTATTAGTGTGTCCATATTAGCTTTGTAACTCTCAGCATCATGTTTCGACAATGTGTCGCTCTCTCCTTGATACCACAGTAATGCCTTGATGTCACAGCCATCTCCACAAATGGCAGCTTTTGCTCTCCTAACCATGCTCTCGTACAAATCTTCCCCGCGAGCCCACTCCTTAATTGCAGTTCCACCCACAGCACAGGGAACTAGCCCAATTGCACCCACACTATCCTTCACAGCATTGGAAAATGACATTCCCGGTCCAACACCACACATCTTCTTGGTGTCAATGTCACGATGCAGTGGCTCACAAGCCGGTTCCCAGCGTAGCTGTGCACTAAAACGGAAGACTTTGGATGAGTCGGGACCACATTCAGGAGGAACTATGCCATCCCAGTGTTTGTTCCTGTCTACTCCACCACGACCAGCCATGTTGCTTTGGCCTGATAGAATGAAGATGTTCTTAGGCGACTTGACTGTCTGGTTCAGGGTTGATTTGGCGAGTTCCATGTGAAAAATGTGGTGAATCCAGATGCACGCTGAGGGCAGATCGAATTAAAATCCGATTGATTTAATAGCCAGTCCTTACAAGAGAAGGGTTTTGGTGCTGATTCTGGAAGACCTGATCAAAAATTTGAAGAAAAACAAGCATGAATCGGAACAACTCTCAGAAACGCACAGGATATGAAATGAAGGACCCTATGAATGAAATTTGATGTATTGTAACTGTTTGGGGAATTTATTTGTACGTTTCAAAAAGATTTACACCTTTTAAAAAAATTGTATTTCACAATCTCTTACTCATTTCTATTAAAAAACCACTTTTACCCCTTACTTTTTCATTTTCTAATAATCTACATATCACATCCTACTTTTACCCATCACATCAAAGGGTATTTTTGGAAAGTCAACACAAAATTATCCCTTCCTTAATTTCAACTTTAATCAAAATGTGTAAATCTTTTTAGGACGGAGGTAGTAGTTCTAACAGAAAATTTATTTATTTTTTCGGGTGGAAAGCATCCTAGGGGTTCAAAATTTCGCACCCATCATACCAGCGAGCCTGCGACACACAATTGCAAAATTCATAATCTCAATCATGTGAACAGAACAAGTACCGGAGTATTTCTCTTCACGGGTATTTATCAAAATGCCCGGTAAATGTTTCGTATTTGGTGGACTACCCTGTAAAGGTGAATTGACGGAAATGTCCAGGCGTGTATGACCGACGCGCTACTTTGAAAATTATAAGTTATTCCATTTAACGAAGCGTAAACGGCGTTTCAACTTCAAATTTAAATAAAAAATCCGAGAATGGGCGAAACGACGTCGGAAGAGACTATACAAAAACCCTCCATAAACATCTTCCTTCATCGTGCGACCATTGAGTTTTCGACCTGTGTGTGCTCTATCCCCCCTCTTCGACACCTGCAAAACTTGATCGAAACCCTACCCATCCAAAGTCACCGGTCTCGGAAAACCTTGAATTTCTACAATGAGGACGAAGAATGCTTCTGTGTCTTCCTCCATGAATGGAAACGATGAGTATCATGCGGAAGAGAGGATGAAAGAGCACAACGGTAGCCCAAAGCCCACACAAGGAACATTCGAGGTCAGAAACTTGATTTTAAATGAATTATTCTCTCTCCAAATAACCAATGGACAATGGTTTATGAATTT